ACAAGGTGTCAACACTAACTCATCGATGTACCAAACATCTATGGATGAAGGTCAGTTGTTCTATAAACCTGACTATTCTTTAGAAGTCTATTGAAATAGAAGGGAAAGAATAAAAGGAGTAAATGAGAGAAGAAAAAGTCACATGCTTGTCATTTTGAGGGTGTAGCATAAAACCATAATTATAATTAATGTAATCCAGTGTGTCTGCTTTCCAAGTAGAGCAAAAATATCACTAGTCACTCTTGTGCTCACCGGTCTCCAGAGCTCCAGTCACAGACGGTGCAGTTTCCTTGGCATGATGTGAAATATTTCCATTTTCTAACATCTGGTCATTGTCCTTGTATTAGAAGCTCCAATTGAGATCGTCTGTTTACTCCTCTTTCTCCATGTTCTTTCAGGCCACTCTTCCTTTTTGTCCTTGCTGTTACCTCTGCCTGGGTTTTCCCTACTCCTCTGCCTAACAAAATCCTACACAGTCTCCAACACCTTCCCTGTGAAAACTTCACGGACTTCTTCTCCCTCAGCCACTAAGCAGGGGTTATTTCTCTCCCAGTTTCCAGAGCTCTTTATGCCCATCTCTTCTTAGTACACTACAAAATAAATAACAAAGTTTTTGTAGGAAAAAAAATCGGGGCAGAAAGAAGCCAGATCAAAGCAGTTTTGAGGAGTGGCCAGGAGCTGAGCTATGACTGTGAGAGATACTGTGCAGTGATGGTTTTGCTGTTATTTGGTGTTGCTATTTTGATCATCTTTAGCATTTCTGGCTTTGCCCAGCAGGGTTTCAGGGTGGTGAAAAGAAAATTCCAAGAGGCTGTGGCGCTGTCCAATGCGTCAGTGCTGACAGACCTGTGTCACTAAGGGGCTGCCACGAGATGAGCAGTTATTCTGGCCACAAGACCAGTGGGCTTCTATTTTTGGGAGAAAGGGAGAAAGAATGACACATCCTTTTATCTTTAAGAGGGTTTGAAGCCATAGATTGCCTCATCTGCTGAGAAAGGGAAAAGATGAACTGCTTAGGTGGATACCCCCCTCTGTGTGTGTGTGTGTGTGTGTGTGTGTGTGTGTGTCTTTGTACTGGGGGATTGAACCCAGGGGTGCTGATCCACATCCCCAGTCCTTTTTTTCTTATTATTTTGGGACGGATTCTCCCTAAGTGGTTGAGGCCGTCTTTGAACTTATGATCTCTGGTCTAAGCCTCCATAGTCACTGGGATTATCAGCATTCACCACTGCACCCACTCCTCCTCTTTCTTCTGGAATCCACAGGCTCAATTAATAACTATGAAAAGTCACTGGTTGTTAGTTTTTCTATTTTCCATTTAATGGATATTAAAGGCCAACTTTGTTTCAGGCACCAAGCCAGGCACTAGGGAGAAAAGATGACTGAAATTGGCTTCTGCCTTCAAGTTCAGTCTAACTAGGAGACCTTGTACCAGTAACGGCAACTAGACTTTGAGAGTAGCTGTCAGTGTGCCCAGGCCACCATAACACAATACTACAGATTGGGGGGTGGGGTGAGCAGCACAGATTTATTTTCTCCCAGTTCTAGAGGCTGAAAGTCCTGGGTTGAAGTCCTGCAGAGCAGTTTCTGGTGAGGGCTCTTTCTGGCTTGCAGATAGCTGTTTTGGGCTCACATGGCCTTTCTACTGCAGAAGGAGGGAAGTTGGTAAGGCACATCTGCGTGTGAACTCTCTGGTGTCTCTTTTTACAGTAACATAATCCTATCAGATCAGGGTCCCATCCTCATGACCTCATTTTACCTTAATCATCTCCTGTTTTTAAATACATCCACACTAGGAGTTAGGGCTTCACCATGAGGACTTGGAGAGATACAATTCAGTCCAAGGCTGGAGCCTATAGAAAACTGTATGTTAACAGATTAGTAAATGATCATATCATCTTAGGGAAAGTGGGGATGGATAAACAACTAGCAGGGATGATGCTAGGCTGAAGTTTGAGCAGTGCAAGTGGTCATTTGCTAAGCGATGGGCGTGCCAAGCCTCAGCTTGGTGGTCTAGCAGTGCTGGCCACTCAAGTTATTATCCTGCATGAAGAAAGGAGATTTCTACATCATAAGCCTTTCATTGTTTATATATTTATTCAGTGATGCATCTTTATTCCTCCTTTGTGATCTTAAAAATTTTATTCTTTTTACTTATACATGACAGTAGAATGTATTTGACATTCATACATGGAATACAACTTCCTATTCTTTTGGTTGTACGTGATGTGGAATTACATTGGTTGTGTACTCATATATGAGCATAGAAAAGTAATGTCCAATTCATTCTATTAACTTTCCTATTCTCATTCCCCTCCCTTCTTTGATTCCCCTTTGTCTAATCCAAAGTACTTCTATTCTTCCTTACCTCCCCATTTATTGTGAGCTAGCATCCACATATCAGAACACTCGGCCTTTGATCTTATGGGATTGGCTTATTTCACTTAATATGACAGTCTCCATCCATTTACCAACAAATGGCATAATTCCATTCTTCGTGGTTGAGTTATATTCCATGGTGTATATACACATTTTCTTTATCCATTCATTTTTTGCGGGACCTGCCTTGTTCCATATTTATCTATTGTGAATTGAGCTGATATAAACATTAATGTGGCACCATCATCACAGTATGCTGTTTTAAGTCCTTTGGATATAAAACGAGTGGTATAACCACATCAAATGGTGGTTCCATTCCAAGTTTTCTGAGGAATCTCCATACTGCTTTCCAGAGTCGTTACTCTAATTTGCAGTCCCACCAGCAATGTATGAATGTACCTTTTCCCCCCACATCCTTGCCAACATTTATTGCTGCTTGTATTCTTGAAAATTGCTATTCTAACTGGAGTGAGATTTCATCTCAGTGTAGTTTTATTTTGCATTTCTCTAATTGCTAGAGATGTTCAACATTTTTTCATGTATTTGTTGACCAAAAGTATTTCTCATGTGAAGTGTCTATTCAGTTCCTTAGCTAACTTATCGATTGGGTTATTTATTTGGTGGTGGTTTTGTTTTTTAAGGTTAAGTTTTTTGAATTCTTAATAGATCCTGGAGATTAAGGATCTGAAGTGTAGGTGGCAAAGATTTTCCCCCATTCTGTAGGCTCTCTTCATATTCTTGATTGTTTCTCCTGTGTGATTTTTATACCTGTAAGCAGCTTTTAATGAGAGGGTATGTCCGAGGTTTCCTCAAGAGCCTCCAGGTGTCATCTAACTTCCTCTGCAGCAGACTTTTTTAAAAATTTCTATTTAAAAAATACATGACAGCAGAATGCATTACAATTCTTATTACACTCATAGAGCACAATTTTTCATATTTTTGTATATAAAGTATGTTCATGCCAATTCATGCTTTTATACATGTACTTTGCTTTTTGCATTACGATTATTACACATATATACCAGTTTTTTATATCTGTATATAAAGTATGTTGACACCCCATTTGAGTCTTCATACATGTACTTTGGATAATGATGACCATCACATTCCACCATCCTTGCTAATCCTCTGCCCCCTCTTTCCCTCCCACCCCTCTGTCCTACTTAGAATTCATCTATTCCTCCCATGCTCCTCCTCCCTACCCCATTATGAGTCAGCCTCCTTATATCAGAGAAAACATTTGGCATTTGTTTTCTTTGGGATTGGCTATCTTCACTTAGCATTATCTTCTCCAATGCCATCCATTTACCTGCAAATGCCATGGTTTTATTCTTATTGTTGAGTAATATTCCATTGTGTATATATGCCACAATTTTTTTATCCATTCATCCACTGAAGGGCATCTAGGTTGGCTCCACAGTTTAGCTATTATGAATTGTGTGCAACAAACTTTTTATGCCTCCTGCAAGGATGATTATTTCAAAGATTCAGTAGGTGTCAGATTCAGAAGAGAAGAGTTAGTGTACTTGGATGTACCTGTTGCTTTGTAATGGTGGGGTGGGGTATACAGAGTGAGTCAGAAGCTTGCTAAGAAGTGTCTCTGCTCTGTCATTTTCTTTTTGCAGATAACCTTCCTGGACACCAGGCTTCATCAGCAGTCAGTGCTGTCTGTCCCTGTGGATAGTTTTTAAGGGTCTCTACCTGTGGGAGTAGATATTCTCAGGAGGAAATGTTCTGGGAACTTTGAGGAAACAAGCCACTCTGCTTTGTGTTTGTGTTGTACTTGGTTTGTCTTTTCTGTCACCTGTTCTTTTGGACCCTAATTGTGGCTTGTTGGTGGCAGGTGATGAACTTCTTCAAATTGAGGATTAAATCACATTCACTTCTGTTGCAACTTCACTTATCTTCCAATGGTGATCACAGTATTCTAGGAGTGATTGCTTTTGGGTAACTGTACAAGTTTTGTGTATTAAGAAAAAGCTTGCTGGGAGTGGTGGCACAGGCCTGTAATCTCAGTGACTTAGGAGGCTGAGGCAGGAGGATTGCAAGTTTGAGACCAGCCTCAGCAACTTAGGGAGGCCCTAAACAACTTGGTGAAACTGTTTCAAAATAAAAAAGGGACTGGTGGTGTAGCTCAGTGGTTCAACACTCCTGGGTCCAATCCTCAGTACCAGAAAAAGGTGGGAGAAAAAGCTTTTATTATTTTATTGGCAATTTATTTCCCTATTGGAATTCATCTTCTCTGCAATGCACTGGCCAGAGTCCCAGCCTGTTTTGTCCTTGGTATAAGCCAAAGAATAGCTAAAGCAGAATCCTAGTCTATTGCCCACAGGAGCTCTTAGCCTCAGGGGGATAACAGGTCAGAAGGTTTATGTTGACAATAATTTTCCCATCTCTGGGCCAATGATTCTATCTTTAGAAAAAATAGGGGGAAATGTGGGATGCTGACTCAAGCCAAAACAAAAGCCTTCTTCCTTCCTATGATTCCTCCAGGTGGGAAGTTTGTTTCTTCAACAAGTGGGCTGCAAGGGCACACCTGCCGTGTGCCACCTGCAGCACTTGTAAAAGCTTCTGAAGGGTTCATTTTCTCCCTTCCCCCTTCACCATGGAGACTGTGGAGGAGAGTTTGTAAGGCAAACTGGATTTGCAAGCACCAGGGATGGCTGCTCAGCCAGAGTCACTATGCCCAGTCACTATGCAGAGCTTCCCTGCCTGGGAGCCCACAAGGGAAGACGTTTTGTTATTATGAAGACGGTTTGTTACAGATTTTGGCCCTTCCTGCATGTTCTCTCCTTTCTTGCATTACTGTTCAAAGAACACAAACTTCGTTTCTTCGTCATCGGAGCATCATTCAGAAACGTTCTGCTGATCTGTGAATCTTTGCCTGGCTCTTTGATCCAGGCAGTGTTACAGGTCCTCTGCCGGCAGGAGGAAGCAGCCCAACAAAATCTGAAGACCCAACACTTTCAGAAGCAGTGATGATCAGGCTGGCAAACCACAAAACCTTGCGAGCTGAATGGATGTCTTAATAAGCCTTTAGATGTAGTGTGGCCAGCGTCGGCAGAGGAGACTAAAGGGGAAAAAAAGGGCTGCAAGCGTTGTGTGGTAAATCACTGCAGACCCACTGGGAGTGACGGCCCTAGGAAGTGAATGATCTCGCCAGCAAAGAATTGACCGCAGTTTTCCAGAAACAGAACATGATGTACAACAGGGAGGACAGACCCCCGGTTGTGAGTACGATCTCTTCAACGCAGGATTTGGAGCAATGAGAGCAAAGCTAATTATTATGACTGGTGGCGCTGCCTGACCACAGGGTTCTGGGGGTCTGGGGGCCGTCTCCGGACGGTTTGTGCATAATGCCTGTTTGGGACTTTTTTTTGAAGGTCTCCTCCTAGAATATTTTGCCTGTCAGGAGACTTGAATGTAGTGGCTTTGAGATATTAGCACCAGGCAACATTATTATAAATCTGCAAGAAAACGGCAAAAGCAAACCTTAGACTTTTGCTGTGTAAAGAAAACCTATCACATCACAGACCAAGCAGCTGTTTGACCCTCTGGCATTTGTGATAAGAGACAAAGGAATTGGCAAATTGGAAAACAGTGATGGGCAACGGGCTGGGAAGAGGGTAGTCTGTCTTAGGAGGCTGAATTCCTTTCTGGATTTGGGGTGCTTATTACATACTTACACTCATTTATTTCTTTTCTGGTTAAAAATGGGCAGCATGCTTGCACTTAAGGTTTTTCCTCCAGAACACGGTAAAAATGAGCATTGTGACAAAGAGGGATGTCATTGATAGGCTTGAGGCAGAAGAAATTCCTCACTGTCAGGAGTGGAAAATGTCTCGGATGGTAGCTATCTATTTGGAAGAGGAAGCTCAGATTTAATGAGGGAATGGGGTTGCTACCGCCAGGCCCAACAGGTTGGCAGTGGAGTTAACTCATTAACTGCAGGCTGGTTGCCACTTTCATTACACTGTAGGGGGTTGTCCATACCCTCTTACCCCTTGGCCCTCACCTGGCTCTGTCCTGCCTGACCTGCTGATTTCCAGGCATCAGATGAGAAGCAGAATATCTTCTCCAAGTGAGGGTGCAGGAGGAGATGGGAAGCAGAGAAGACTCGGCTGCTACGATCTCTTCATATCTACCCTGTGTGTGAAGCACCTATAGGCAAATGCTGGAGGTCCTAGCAGTGAAGCTGTTACTGTACTTAAATTGGGAATGAGCTCAAGATGTCCAAGTACTGCTGTTAGCAGACTAGGGACTGGAATGTGGCATTTGGTTCCTCATTTTGCAGGCAGTTTTCTGTGCAACTCTGATGGGGGTTGGGGAGTATCCATATTATCTTTCTTCCCAGCCCACCTCTCCTGCAAGCTGTTCTATGGGTATATTGGTGGTGGTGGTGGTGGGACAGAGGTGTAAAGAGCATTCTTAAATAGATGTAACTGAAAAGCAAAAAACAAAATGACATTTCTGGCCAAAATTTTCTCAACACTGTAGTGTTTTTCTAGAAAAATAATGAGGGCTGGGGCTTAGTGGTAGAGCACTCACCTCACATGCGAGACCCTGAGTTCAATCCTCGGCACCACATAAAAATAAGTGAAATAAAGGAATTATGTCCAACTATAACTAAGAAATAAAAAATAGATGGGTTGGACATTTAAATGGCAATCGTCTAAACAAGGTTCACTCAGCCAGAAGTTCTTACGCAGGCCAAGAGGCTGAATTTGTTGCATGACACAGGAGGGTAGAAGTGGCGTGGCCATCAATTCACCTGAAGCCAGTTGGACCTTGTGTCCCTTACTGAGGAGACTGAGCAATGCTGCTGGTGTGACCTCGGCTAAGATTGCCGCCAAGGTCTGTAACCTTAAGAGCTAAGCTACGGAGTAGAATTTTAGGCATAATTTTTGTATAAACTGAGCCATTGGACTTAAATACCATTGCATAAAAGGTTCTGGAATGGAATGGGGGGGTAAGGTCAAGTGTACAGAGATAACAAATGGGTAGAATGAAGGAGAGAATGGCTGAGAAAGGAGATCACTTAGGAACCCATGTCTAATGTTGTGTATTTTCCTTGCATTGGGGCCTGGAGTGATTTTGCAATATTTGGGTAAACAGAGCAGAAACTTAGTATAATTGGTTTAAATAAAAAGATGTACTTGTGTTGATAAACACAGATCAGTTCCAAATACTATGACAATTTAGAAAGCATAAAGCCCAAACAGTGTGGCTATAGAAACTTTCAATGGAATTTCTTGCTCCATCTCTGTGTTTTTGAGTCTTAACTTTATTTTTTCATTGGCCTTTGTGTTCAGAAATATTTCTGATGCATCCCAAGGATCTGTGACTGTAGCTACTCGAGGCATCCCTGCTTTGGATGTCACCTTCACATTTGTCATGCTTCTAATGAGTCTGGTGAGGAGAAGGATGGGTTTTCTATATTCCTTCTATTTTCCTCTCCTTGCTATCCTTTGCCTGCATTTTGGGTTAGAGATGAAAAAACGATAAGAAAATGTAATGATGCACAAATTGCTTTGTGGGTATAACAATTATCTTTCAAAGTTACAGTATTTATTTTTGGCTAACACTTTCTGTAATAAAATGCCATTTGTAAAACCCACCATAGTCCTGACAGAGATGTCCTATGTCTGTTCTCTGTGTGGGCCCTTAACCCTAGTCTCCCAGAGTGGTTGACCAGATGACTGCTTGAGCCCAATATGGCCAAGACCTTTCCAAGCCACATCAGGGTAAATGGCCTTAATCTCTAGAGCCTGAAAGAATTATTAAGTTTGCTGGAAGCAATTGTAAAAATATGCTGGTATTCTTCTTGACCTTTAGAATTAGAAGGTGTGGTGTTCTGGGTTGAAGAATGGTATTTTTTGGATACAGCACTTTATTTCCATTTGTATATGTTGATGTTTTAATAAGTGGTTTAAAAAACAAAGAAGCCCTTACTTGTTCTCCTAGCAGGAGTGGGTTAGACCTCTAAGCATCCCTTCTTTTGCCCAAAGAACTCTTCTCCTTTGAAATAATTGTCAGTGGCTTGGGTTTGGTCTAATGGTGACTGGGGTTACTGAGAAGAGTCAGTCTTTTAAATCCTGTTCATTTTGGTCATTGGGTGGAAAGAAGAGCTTAAGTTTACTTCTGGTTGCTACCTCTGGATCACTGCCCAGAGTTGGGACTTAGTGTCCTGTAGGTGACTTTAGTGGGCCATTTGTTTTCTTTCCATTAAGTGAAGAAGCAACTCCATGAGCCTCTCCTGAATAGACAGAGCTGCTGTCAGGTTTAGCATCCATGTGGGTCCCAAGGTGGATTGTTTTTGGCAATCTGGAACTGGGAGTCAGCGGAGCCTGTGCCCAGCTCTCCATCTGTTCCAGAACTCAGGAGACTGTACTGTTACAGTAAGAACAGGGTAAAGGGAGACAATTGCAATGAGTGCAGCGAGAAAACCCCAGGGAGAGAGCCCATCTGTCACTCTGGGAGGTGTAGTCCACCAGCCTCAGCCTGCCTTTGTGAATCAGCAGACCAGCTGCGGTGTACCCAAAAAACCTGGTCCAGAATCTTGTTGGTAAAGATGCACAGTATGATTATCTGCTTGAGGTGGGTGTGTAAACCAGCTGGTGTCTGGGAGATTATATTAGGCCTCTTCTACCCAGGACAAAAATGCAGAGCCATTCTTAAAGTCCTGGTTATTCTTCTCTGGAGAATATTGCTGAAGTGGGAGAAAGAGAAGGGGGCTTAGCACATTCTGCCTTCCCCTTAGAAACTCCCTTCAGGGGTTTTGCTGTGGAGAGTGTGCTGCTGCACATCCTGTCTCCCTTTGGCTTCCTTCCCTGCAGTGTGCAACCAGCAGAATGCCCTTAAGTCAGAGAAGAGGCATGATTGCTTGGGTACTTGTGTGTCAGATGACACTGATTACAGCTTTGTTTTATAATCCCTAGGTCCTGAAGATGGCATAGTAAAAAAAAAATAAAACAGAAGGCACCTTCTAATGATTGTGAACATCTGTACCCGTGGATGCCAGCCCAGGCCAGTGGCTTCGTGTTGAGCCAAAGGAACTTGTCTACCATATTGCCGAAAACCTCTTTCTCTCCTAATTCATGAGCCAGCAGGATGCGGTCGCTGCGCTTTCAGAACGCCTTCTCATAGCTGCATACAAAGGCCAAGCAGAGAATGTGGTTCAGCTCATCAACAAGGGCGCCAAGGTAGCGGTTACCAAGGTAACAAGAGGAAAAACGCTGCAACCATTCCCTGGGAACTAGCGTACCTCTTAACCATTGTCCATAAAACTGTTGTTTTTGATTCACTGCTTTCAAAAGAACTGGCTTTCGGTCCAGTGACAGGTTTGGGGGAGAAAGGAGGGGTATTACGAATGCTTTCATTGCCATCTTTCAAATGAAATAACTTGTAATTAGCATTTGACAGTCTTTAAAATCATAGCATGTCTTTTTTTCTTACCTACTTATTTTAGTCAAACGGTCAAGAGATCTCTTGGGAGTAGCTGGGACACAAAAGCTCACTGGGCAGAGTGTGTGATAATCACATTAAACAAGCCTCCTAAGGCCAGCTAGTGGTTGGGAAAATCCCCACCGCACAGTCTCACTGTCCCTGTGTACACAGTGACAGCCTGGACCAAATGACCACCATCACCTCTATGGGTTTTGATTTTTATGAGTCAATGAAAAATGAATAGCAAACTATGGAGGACATTGCTTTCCCCTCACCAACAGATGATGCCATGGCAGACAAGAGAACATACTGGTCAAAGGCAGTTTTGTAGCAAGGCCAAGAAAAGGCAGTCCTGTGCAGTTAGATGTCAAGTTCAAATATACCTGTGGAGGATCACCAACAGTGAGCACTTACCTAGCTTGTAGCATACAGCCCTCTAGTGGAGGTTCTCTCCTCACTACCACTGTGGAAATGAGGAAACTGAGGCACAAAGGGATTTGAGTAATTTCCCCAGGCAAAAATGCAAATTTGCCCATGGAGTCAGGCTGCTAAGCCCACCCTCCAGGCCACCCCAGAGAGCTGTAGAGATGGAAAAGGAGTTTAATTTTCAAACAGTATCATCTGTTAACATCTAGAGATTGGCCAGCTCACATTTTCAGTTACTCATATATTCTCTGTATTGCATACAGGTTTCTTAAAAAAAAAAGGATCTTGAGCTGCTTGTAGGTCACCTATGGAGCCTAACAGTAGGATGCACAGAAATAAATTGTTTATAACTGAATATGGAGTGAGCTTGAACCCTGGCTTCTTGTAATCTGCCCATAGTGTTCTTCAAGACCCAGGCAATCACAAACAAGAGAGTATATGAACTCTGTAGTTACAGCATGTGCTCACAGGTTTTATTTCTGCTCTGTTTGCTGACTGTGCAAGTTGCTTAGCTTTTTTGAGCTTCAGTTTCTGCAATTGTAAAACAGGTATAATATAACAACCCCGAAAAGCTAGTAATGATAGCAATAATTAAAGTACATAGTCTGCAAGTTTTTGTTTTGTTTTGTTTTTTTTTTTTGGTACTGGGCATTGAACCCAGGGTTGCTTAACCACATCCCCAACCCTTTTATATGTTGTATTGAGATAGATCCTTTTATATGTTGTAGGATCTCACTGAGTTGCTTAGAGCCTTGCTAAATTGCTGAGGCTGTTTTTGAACTCGTGATCCTCCCCTCTCAGCCTCCCAAGCTGCTGGGATTACAGGTGTGCACCACCATGCCTGGCTGGCATCTGCAAGTTTTTAACATAAACTTCATAAGACGACAACAATGAGAGCTTAAGCTTATTTCTGTGCTACCTCTGGACCACTGTACTGAGTCAGGACTTGGTGTCCTGAAGGTGATTTTAATAGGCCATTTGTTTTCCTTCCATTAAGTGAGGAAGTGACATCATGAGCCTCTCCTAAATTGACAGAGCTGCAACAATGGAAACAAACAGCTTTACTGAGGTGTACTTTACAGGCTGAGAAGTTCACCCATTATTAATTGTACAATTCAGTAATTTCTGGTGTATTTACAGAATTGTGCAACCATCACCACTGCTGCAGACTGAATTGCCCCCCCGGTTTTCTTTTTTTGAACCCTTGTTCCTTGTTTTGTTGGATTTTGGGTTGGGGCCTTTTGGGGGTTATTTGGTTTTTGTTGGGTTCTTGGGCTTGGTTCCTTTTGTTTGTTGGTTAGGGTTCTTTTTAATTGGGGTTCCCGGGGGGTTTTTTTTTCTTCCTTGCCTTTTGGGGCCCTTGGGTTGGGGGCCATCAGCAAGCTAGGAAGAGAGCTCACCAAAACCCACATGCTGGCACCCTGATCTTGCACTTCTCAGCCTCCAGAACTATGAGAAATTTCTGTTGTTGGCAGCATGGGAAGACCAATTCAACCACGTTCTAATTTTAGAACTTTTCTATCACCCCAGTAAGAAACTTCATAGCCACTTGCTATCAATCCCCATTCCTATCCCCCAGCCCTTTGTGGGGTTTTTTGTTGTTGCTACTGAGGATTGAACCCTGGGTCCTTTGTCACTGAGCTACATCCCCAGCCCTTAGCTAAGTTGCTAAGGCTGGCCTCAAACTTATGATCCTCCTGCCTCAGCCTCTCAAGTTGCTGGGATTTCAAGCCTGTGCTGCCCATCTTAGCCCATCTTAATTTAAGTTTACAATTCAGGGTCATTGAGTACAATCATATTGTTGTACAACTTGTCACCATCTGTCTCCAGAATTTTTTTCATCTTTCCAAACAAACTCTGTACTCATTAAACACTAACTCCTTATTTCCCCATCTTGATACCTGGAACCCACCATTCTACTTCCTATCTTCCTGAATTTGAGTACTCTGGGTACCTCGGGATGTGTGGAATCCTACCATAATCATCCCCTTGTGACTGACTTATTTCACTTAGCACCATGCGTGGTAATATAGCATGTTTAGGGTATCATTCCTTACTAAGGCTGATTAATATTTCGTGTTATGTGAATATCACATCTTGTTTATCCTTTCCAGAATCAATGGACACTTGGGTTGCTTCCACCTCTTGACTGTTGGGAATTGTGCTGTATAAACTGAGTGTAAATGAGTGTTCAGGTCTTTGCTTTCATTTCTTCTGGATATGCACCCAGAAGTGGAATTGATGGATAGTGTGGTAGTTCAATTTTTAAATTTTTGACAGAACTGCTTACTAGTTTCCATGTTTTTCACAGCCTGCTCTCCACAATGGCATATCTAAGATTTACCCTATCATTGAACATAAATCGAATTGTCAGCTATAATGGCTCCAATCTCCCATTGTGTGGATAAACTGTGGATTTTATTCAGTCACCTCCTTATGAGCATTTAGGTTGTCTACAAATTTTGCATTCTTTGCTATCATAGAGGATGCTAGGTGTCTTTCAGATTTAGGAGAAGATCTGTTAGGTAAAGGCCTAGAAAGAGAATTCCTGGGACAAAAGGCATAGTCATTGATATGTTAATGATTTCCTCTAGATAGGAGGTAAATGAGTGTGGCCCATCAAGAGCTTTTAGGAATAAAGTTCAATGGATCCTCTGGGTGAAGAGCCAGGGCTTGGGTAGGACACTGTCTGAAAGACACATCTTGGAGATGGTTGGGTCAGGGCTTTTAGAAGC